CGAAGGCAAGGCGAGCGGGGGGTTGAGGGGGAGAGACAGGCGGATCCAGTGCTCATGGGGAGTTGGCTCCTCACAGACAGCAGCTCCCACTCTCCCCTCCCCCGCTGCCTGGGGGAAATGCACGTAGCCAACAAGATCAACCGGCTTATCGGTTAATCATGTAGTCTACACAATGACATCCCTACCACATTCTACGCATTCTCTAAAAAACTCAAGAGTTTCCTAAAGAATGCCTACTCTTAAAAGATAGATGCCAATTCTCATTCATTAAGGAACTGCATCCCCAAGGTGTTTTTTAGTTATTAAACCTCACACGATATTAATGTGAATAAAGCCATGCCTTATAGTGGGCCAACAAATACTGAGTTTTCCTGCCAAAAGTTCCCTGACTGTTGTTTCATAATTGTTTGCCTAATTAATGGCATCATTTCCCCAGTACACTCATGCTGTATTTGACTTCCTGAAACACGAGAAGAATGGCCTTTTAAATAAAATATAAACACACACACTCTCAGTATTCTCAGTACTGCCATCATACTGCCCACCAAAACACCATAAACATAGGCTCTCTGCTTCATTTCCCAACAAAAGCCTGTAAACACACTTTGTCCCCAGATTACCGTAAATACTCTGACGGAGACAAAAAGATCTTTCTGGCATTATAAATTTTAATTATTTTATTAGCTGAAGTTGGCCACAGGTTTTATGGGAATAATAACCTTACTCCATTATTACAGTGAAAAGAGCAATAAGACTATCATCTTTTGTGTGTCTACCAGGAATCAAGTACGCACAAAACAGCAAGTAGTCCTCAGGCAAGATTAAAACTCCATTAACATACATTGTAATTATCTTTTTTAAAGTAACAATTGGAGCATTCTTGTTTTGAACAACTGGATAAGACTTCATGGTAGGAACAGCCCTATTTGAACTCTGCATGACGAAGCCATTATATAGCCTTTTAGAGTCACACTTTACAATTTCAACAACTTAGCAGGCAGATTCCCTTTCCCCCGGATTCCTAGGGGTTGAAGTCAAGGCAATAGAATTCTCAAGAGTAGGTGTTTATTATTATTCATGTATAGGTATTTTTACTGCACTTGGCTGATGAGTGCAGTATATTTTATGGCAGCCTGTTATCACTGCTGATTTTTTCCTCAGGACTAGTCCTAAGATTTTACTTGCCAACCATTTCCAAAGGTTCATTTTCTAGTAACTTCATAATATTTCCCTTGCTTTTAAAAGTGCTGTTTCAGAGTATGTTATTGCACACATTGTCCCTTGGCCAACACACAATGATGCCCGCCATGCTTTAGCATAATTGGCTTACGAATACGTATCACTCAGACATGCTTTAGACAAAATACCTCATGTAACATCAATTTTCATGTCGCAGTCTGATGGATCTGAATACCCTATTTCTGTGCATGTTTCATTCTTGTATGTGAGGTTAGAAATATGAAGTGTGAAGATCTGCTTATAGTTCTTAATGTGCTAATGAGGGCCATTACAGGTGTCCCAGAAATGTAATGACTCAGATCCCCTCAATGACCTGTAGATAGCCTTGTCAGGTGTCAGCAACCTACGGCTCATAAGCCAAATATGGCTCACTAGGGAGCCAGGTATGGCTCTTCTGAAGCGCCTGAGAAATGTGCTGGGCTGCTGCCCTGGAGTGGGTCTCACTGGTAAGTCTCCTGGCAGAACCTGCCTCTGGAACCCCAGACCCTCCCTCCCCCACAACCCTCTGCTCCCCTATCCCACATAACCCAAACTCCCTGCCCTCCTCCTAAGCCCATACCCTCTCCCCCAATCTCCTACCCTAGATCACAATCCTCTCCTGCCCTAGGTCTCCAATCTCCTACCCTAGATCACCATCCTCTCCTGCCCTAAGTCACAACCCAAACCTCTACACTATTATCCCCTGCCCTAGGTCACAATCCAAACTCCTGCACCCCAATCCCATGCTTGGGTCTCAACTGTCTCCTTCACTCAAACTCAGTGGCCAAAAAAAGTTCCCCACTCCTGTCATAAATAAAGACAGTGTTGAAATCTTCTGTGTTGCATATTTTATTTAAAAATGAAGCCTGGCCAACAAGCCTCCAATTGGGGCCTCGCCCACATCTAGCCACAGCATCATAGCACTCCTCCACCCCCCACATACACACCAACCCTGAGCCCATCATACACATGAACCCGCTGCCCTGAGCTAGGGATATAAAATCCCGTTTAATTGGTTAATCCGTTTGTGATAGATAGAAGTGCTAGCCAGCACCTGGCGACTAAACGGTTAAACTCTGGTAGCTAAATGGGGTGTTGGCAGAAAGCTGCCAAAGCCAATGGGAAAATGTTCTACATTTACTCAGAACCAAAATACTAATTCCCCTTTTTTTTTATTGGAGCATCCACCTGCAATGTATAAAAGTTAAAGGCTGCAATATTGTGCTTATGCAGGGGAAGAAGAAAGTTCTTAACAGGTATCACATTAAAGAAGTGC